CCGTTGTTTTGAGTAATATGCAAATACGCTTTAAATACGCAGGCGCATAAATTAAGGCAAGGAAATGCAGATCGGACAACCCGCCAGGATCCATGAGAGATCCTACGCCCACGTCCACCGGCCTCCAGAAGGGGGTCAGCACAAAGAAATCGCGCTGAGTCCGCATTTTAATTTACAGTAAGCCGACTGAAGAAGAGGATGACTCTTCACTGGATTTCACTTGCCAAATATGGCCGCATGTCAATTTGTCTCTCCGGCTGCTCCTGCCGCTCGAGCGGCACTGCTTTATGGAGCCGTTGGACCATTAAAGACACGACCGTTTACAAGCCATTCAAAGAAAGCGAGTCCCAAGGAGCGCAGATGCAGATGCAGATTGCTGCGTGGGCAGGACACTCTGGCTGCCACTTCGCCGACAGCTGGGGAAATACCCGTGGCTCAGTAGGCAGAGCCAGTTTACTTGGACAAGTCTCGAGGCTTTTCGAAAGGTTTCGGTTTCTCACCGGGGAAGTTTGTTCATTCACACGAAGCCAGATATTTTGTGGAGAAACGATGTGAAGTCATAGCTCCTTCCTCTATTTGCCACACAGGTAAAATATACTTCCTATCTAAAAGAAATGTGTGAATTAAATATTAATATTCAGACTTTCTTTAATATCATCGACCTTAGCATAGATATATCAACATGTTATTCTTCGGATTACCGATCTAAAGTCCATACTTTGTATAAGAAGTGGGCTATTAGTTGTCCCTTCATAAGTTATTAGATGCGTATTATTAAAAATTCGTAATGGTTTTAAAACCACTTTCTTTTAAGTAACCAACATTAACTTTCGCATGGAATTGATTTCTTCGACTGAGAGACTTATTATCAATTTGTATGCATAAAAATATTTGATAGGGTTTATCATTACTGTTGCGCAACATCGTTTCTATCCCCGAAATATCTCTTAAGAGCATTAATCTTTCTTAATTTGAATAAATTCCTTCGCAAATATATAAATTTAGTTTTCTAAAGTCAACTTATTTGCGATGCTACATGAATAATTCTTATAAGCTCACAAAAATGTAAGTGATGCAAAATACCATGAAATATTTTGCCTGGATGAAATGGTGAAACCAATGACAATTTTATATAGATTTCTTAGAAATCAAATAAAATTGTTTGCCTAAAAGCAAATAACCTTTTGAGAAAATATTTAGCAAACAGGGTAATTCCTAAAACATTTACAAAAAAAACCTATTAAACGTCAAAAACCTCTCAATATTTGTAACTTGAAAGGGATATACTTTTAAAGTAAAAATATTTAGAGATTTTTGGCTTTTAATAGGATTTTTGCAATTGATTTATTTAACCCTCCTCCATTTAACGACCGCCTGTATCGCATAAATTAAATACATGGCATCCCTGCAAAATTCATATAAATATCAAGGAAAATTTGTACACATAGACTATCACATAGCCAAAAGGTATTTCCTGGCACCGAGAAGTTATTTTCGCATGGAATCGATTTCTCTGATTTTCGACCCCTTTGACAGTTCCTATCCCAATTCACTCCCCATCAGAATTACTTACGTGGGCTCCTTGGATATCTGGGCCTTCTTGGCATCGAGTTCGTGCCGCCGTCGCTTGGCCGCCGATCTGGTGTGATGTGTGTTGGTGATGCGCGGCCTGTAGTCAAAAATTGGAAACAATGAGTACCGAATGAGTGCAGCCCGAGAATATATATGGGAATGGGAATATATGGGAGAATAATTCTACATATGTTTAGGAGAACTTACGGCGATGGGGCCTCAGCTAGGGGTGGCGAATGATCGGCAGTATCGTGTCGTCGGCGCTTGTCTCGTGTGCCCGCCGAGGAGCGATCCCTTGAGTGGTGGAGTCGCCGTGTTCTGGGCATCTGAAAAAAATAAGTGTTATACACACAGCATTAGTTTATGATAGGCTACCTATAAGATACTACCTATAAGAAATACCTTATAGGCTAAATGGGCTGTTAAATATTATAAATACACCACATGTACTTATGAACTGTAAGGCAACGGGTGGTGTGAGCACTGGGAACACCCCCCATCGACCCCCCTTTCAGCTGTTCCCACCGAGGAAGAGGTGAGTACAGTACGGAATACAGCTGGCACGCACACACACACACTTACACACATGCGGTCGCCTAACCAAATTGCAATATCTTGTCTTTGTGTTTGTGCAATGGAAAAACAGACCACAAATAAAAACCGAAAAAAACGAAACTAACTTTCGCATTTTAATTAGCCAACCATTAGTCCATCTACCTTGCAATTTGCTGCTGATTTTTTTCACGAGCGCGAAAATTGATTTTTGTTGTATGCGCTCCGCTGGCTTTGCTTTGGTATTGTTGTTGCTGCTGCTGCTTGGCCAAAGCGTCGCTGTCGCTGCCGTTGTGCTGTTGTTGCAATTCGCGCAGCTGCCTGCCGCTGCCGCTGTTGCGATTTGTAGTCCTGCTAATCCTAGCGTTTACTTGTAGTCGAGTAAACACCTCCTGGGCTTTTCGCACTCTCCAAATAATAATGTGCGTTTGCGTTGAAAATCGTGTTTTTTTTCCCACAATTCACGTCACTTGGTATTTTATTCACCACGTCTTAGAGGTGGAAAAACATCGATAAATCGATGTTTTACAATTTTGTTTTTAGTAATATCGATATTTTTGGCGACAGTCGAAATAAGAAATAAGCGAAAAATATTTTTTACATTTAAGTTAATTACTGTCATGCGCGGATCCACTGGGGTAATAAAGCTTTATCATAATACGCTCCTATAATACTAAAATGTCAAAATGCTGATCTGTTAGGGCTAGTACTCAACATAACAAAAAGTCGAAAAAAACAAAAAAAACTTCATAGGAAAAATCGTTAAAAAATATTGTTTCAATTAAAATTTGTTCTACATTTTCCTTATTTAAATTCAAATTAGCTCAACTTTTGCGGCAAAAAAAAACTCGAACAAAACAGGGTGATTCGTCTATTAAAATTGGTCTTTTGCCATTCACTCACGCACGCAAAATCAGCTGTTTACACGTACGCACGCGTCTGCGCCTGTATGGGAGTCTCAAAATCGCCATGGACAGGTAGCATTTTTTTTGGATATCTTGTTTTCTGCGTTTTCCTGCTATCTTCGCCTAGCATTTTCATATCTTGTCTTGTGCTTTGTGGATTTTCAGCTGACTTACCTCGTTCCGCTGCGCAATAGTCGCTGGGGTGGGCGTGGCCAGCAGGGGCGGCGCTGGCAGGGCCAAAAACGGAGAACGGGGCAAATAGAGGCGATGCCACAGGCCGCTCAAAAGTTGCGTTAGCGATTGCCAGGAGAAATGCGCTTTCGCTTGCATGGGTTTTTCCTTAAACGATGCTAGTTGCATGGGTCCTCCGGGTTCTCCTGTTTTTATCCTATTTATCCTACAGCATGCGTTCTTCTCGGGCTTCTGTTTGTTTTCCTCACTTTTTGGCGCCTTTTTACGCTTGCTGCGCGTAATCGTAATCCATCTGCTGCAGCTCCGCCGCCACGATTTTACCGCCTGGCGTTGGCCATTTGGCTTGGTTTTTTATTTTTGTGGCCTGCAATGCAACTAATGCAATTAATACGCGGGAATTTGCAACGGATTAAATTGAATTTCTGGCTGCGAGGGGCAGAAGGCAGTTGGGAATTTTTAGCACCTTTATTGATTCAGCCGTTTTCCAACTCTGCTTCTGTTCGGTTAACAGTGCTCTGTTAAGTTTCACTGTTAATAACTTTTACGGCGAAAAATGGAGGAAAGGCGGAAAATTTGAAAACTAACAAACGATTATTTTTACCAATCCACTAGTGAAAATCAAATTATTCTCGTAAATTTGTGGTAATTTTAACACATAACATAAGTAATTGTTAGCAGACACTGTTAACTTAAAATAATGTAAACAAAATTAGTTACTGTTAATTATCTTAACATTATGTTAACACAGAGTGGCCACCTGACCGAAACGGTTAGCATACTGGTGGCGGCTAAAATTGAAATGTTACATAGGGATGCCACCTAGCTGAAACGGTTATGGCAGTTAACGATTATCTTTTAAATTTGAAGTTTAAAAAAATAAGCGTTAAATTCAAACGTTAAAGTCGGAAGACATTAAAATGAATTAAATAGTATTTCAAAAAGCTGATTTTAATATCTCTGGTTATTTTCCTTAAAAAACAGCTGTGTGCCTCGTGTTTTCAACTGCGCCTGCGCTGCTTTGGCGCCCAATAAAAAAATACGGGTTCCAATTCATTCAATTGCATAACAATACGCGAGGCGAAATAACGGTATCGTTATCGTGTGCCCACGCTCAGTCAGAAATTGACGTGCTTCTGCCAACGGTCGTTTGTGCTTCGCGGTTTTTCCCCGTTTATACTCTTCCCGCGTTTTGTGGCTGGAAAAGAAGAAAAGTCAATCTAATTGGGAACTAACCAGCAGTTTATCCGGCAAAAAAGAAAAGCAAGGCCCCTAAAGATGGCTAAATAATTGATGGAGTGATATATTATGCCCCGCCCACGTAACAGCTGCAAATCATCATAGCATTGGATACTAGTTCTCCCGTTTCGAAGGAAAATCCGTAATCCATAAAGGACTTTTACCTTATTTTTTGGTTAACCGAAAAACGTGTGTGAAACGCGTCCCATGGCAAAAGTGAGTATTTTTATTGATTTTTTCCCGGGCCCGGGAGCCTGGTATTCGTACTTTTTGGCCTAATCCGAGACTCGCGTGATTCCCATGGAATATTCAATTGCACACACACACACTTTCGCAAATGGCGCAGGCCTTTTTGGGTCACGAGGCTCGTAAGCGAGTGTGTGTGTGTGTTGACATTGTCCTGGTCTCGTTTTCATTTCCCATTTCCCTTTTCGCTTTTCGCTTTCGCACGTGCTTTTTTTGGCCAGCAAATACGTAACACATAGCCGCATATAGACGATCCATAATTTATGACTTTTCGCTTTCAGCTGGGAAGCTAGTCAAACCGGAAACGGAAGCGGCATAACCGGAAGTGGAACTGCAACTAAAAACCGAACAGTCAACGGAAACGATCGAAGGGATTAGCATTAGCAAGGCATGGACACCGCTGCCGCCGCCGCCGCTGCAGTCGCCGTTGAACTGAAACCCGATCAGCAGCTCCTGAAGGCCACGAGGATTGGAGGAGGAGCAGTGGTCACTGGAACCCCAACTGGATGCGACTGCCTGGGCAGCACAGTGGAGACCATGTCCTTGACGCCGCCGCCCACGCCGCCTTCGCGCGCCTCTGATTCCCTCGTCCTCCATGTGGAACCAGGTGCTCCTCCAAGTGGTTCCAAGGAGGCGGCTTCCGAGGCCACAGCTACGGCATCCTCTACTGAAACCACCACTCAGCCGGATCTGCCCGCCAGCTCATCATCAACGTCTTCCGCCAAAGCTTCCACAAAGCCAACGTCTGCCTTGCAAGGATCGGGATTGGGATTGGGATCGGTATCTGCATCTAGTTCTGTTTCAGTGGAGCATCCACCCGCTGCAGCAGCAGCAGTAGCTCCTCCACCAGAATCCGAATCCTCGGAGAATGTTGTGCAGCTGCTGCCCTGGCAGGACATGCCCACGTATCTGCAGTTCAATCCCTACGTGCTCCGCGGCTACCGACCACTGCAGACCTTCAAGGGCTGCCTGCTCAGCCTGTTCTACTGGCACAACGAGACCATCAACATCCTGACCCACGGTGAGTACCGATTCCACTTCCTCATCCACCCACCTGTCTGTCTGTCACCTCAGTGGCTCAGTGGCTCAGTGGCTCACATATCGATCCATCCGCTCGTAACAATCACGGTCAAAGCCAAAAGTGGAGGCACGTAAATAGATTAGGTCGGCATTTCTAATGAACCTTGACTGAGGTTGGCCTGGGCAGGCATAAGAAAGTGGCCGACTAAAGATAGCAGTCACCCCCAAAAGGCTGTAATATGAGCTAAAATTAAATCTAGGGAATTTTTAAATAGTTTTAGTGGGAATATTAGATCAATTTATAATTATCTATGGCATTTCCAAACTTTATTTGATGACTTTCAAGTAACAAAACTATTGAATTACATTTTTATCATCTAAAAATCAAGTTATGGATAGATATTTTGTATTCAGTTATTACCTAGTAGGTAAATAGTTTTGTATGCAGGAATAACTAATCAATTTTAATTATTTATGGCATGAAATGGATTATTTTTAAAACATGTCCCAACATTATTTGATGGCCTCTAAGTAACTCAATTATTAAATTACATATTTATCTTCAAAATCTAAATCATCTAAAATCTTTGTAATTTTAAAAAATATATTCTTATGTTTCGGCAAGTAAATAGTTTTATATGCTGGAATAATTGATCAATTTGAATTATTTATGGCATGAAATGGGATATTTTTAAAAGTGTCCCAACATTATTTGATGACTTCTAAGTAACAAAATTATTAAATTACATTTGTATCATCAAAATCTAAATAATCTAAAATCTTTAAAATTTTAAAAAGGATATTTTTATGTTTCGGTAGGTAAAAAGTTTTATATGCAGGAATAATGGATCAATTGTAATTATTTATGGCATGACATGGAATTTTTTAAGACATGTCCCAACTTTATTTGATGACTTCTTAGTAACACAATTATTAAATTACTTTTCCATCATCTAAAGTTATGGAAAGAAATTCTAGTAGAGCAAGCACTTCTCGCTGGGATTCATGGCCGAACCGGCCTTGCAGTTGAACTCCTTGGAGAACTCATCAAAGTTCGATAGCGAACCTATAACTCTGAACTTCCCTGGCATGTGCTGATCCGTTGATACTTGTAATGCCTTCACACTGGGATGGGCATCATTGCACCAGATCTGGGCAAAGCTGATGAAAAAAAGCTGTTTGGCGGAGTAGGGCATGTTGGGCAGGGTTTCCTTGGCCAGATTCCCGGGCATTTGGGAATCGAACCACTTCCTATAGGCGGTGTAGGCCAGTCGCATTCCCCCGTTATCCGCTATGTTTTCCGACTGCGAAGTGGACTCCTTCAGCTGAATACCATCGTAAACATACCTGCCATACTGCTTAGTGAAACACTCTCGTCGTTCTAGGAAATTCCCGCTGGACCTCTCATCCCACCAATCGTTAGAGTTTCCCTTGGCATCGAACTTCCTGCCGCTGTCGTCGAACCCATGGATCAACTCGTGACCAATTAGCGAGGCCAAGGTGCCGAACATCACCGCATTGGGGTAGACATCGGACCAAATGTAGAAGGGTTGGAGCAAAGCCACCGGCACCTTGATGGTGTTCTCTATCAGGATGTTCGCCGGCGTGTAGCTGAGCTGGGAGCCCGCCTCGAAGGGTTTGGCCGGCTGGTGGAGCATCTCCCTCATCTGCTTGGCACCCAGCAGACTCGTCTGTCGCACATTCTCCACGTAATCGGAGCTCTGCAGATTGAGATCCGCAAACTCCTCGGTGAAGTTATCCTCCGCGTAGTTGTTTACCTCTAAAGTCATGGCTTCTAGCTTATCAATGGCCAGTTTCCGAGTGGCTGGCTCAATCCAATCCAAAGCTGAACTGGAACGCAGGGTCTCATTAAACGTGGCCTTTAGTTGCCGCCACATGTTGTCGATTTCTCGGGAGGATTTCTCGTTGTTATAGCGACGGTAGAACATGTTGTCCAGGTTTTTGGCGAAGAACTTCTTGGTGAGATCCACACAGGCCTGCTTCTGCTTCTCCGGCTTGTCGGAGGGGGTTTCCACAAATTCCCAGATGAGCCGGAAGAAGATATAGTTGGCTATGGTGCGCTTGGGCGTCCGCTTGATGACTTCGACGAGGTTTTCTTGATATCGTTTATTATACTCGTAGATCTGGTCGGTAATCGTCTCTCCCATGCTGATAGAAATCAATCGGTTGATGTCCAAAGTGGGGAAATACCTCCGGTGCACCTCACCCACAGTCAGTAGCTCAGTCATTTCACTCAAATCCAGTCCCTCGCTCTCGTCCACCAGTCCATGGGCCAAATCCACCTCAAAGTCCATCAGCTCCCGGGCCGTTTTCTTGGCCAGTTCCATTTTCACGCCCAGGGATCTCTGCAAAGTGCGCTGAATATTGAAGCGATACTTCTGACGGTAAATGGCCGTTGCATTATCCACATACATAGATCTCGCCTCCAGCGGAAAGTCCTGCTGCCCCAGGTAGATCCTGTTCCTCTGATTGCTGGCCAAATCCTTGTTCACCTCCATGCCAATAACGGGAGTGATCCCATATCGGTGGGCCATGCGAGCGGTGGTGCCCAGCCAGTCGAAGTCCTCCTCCTTCCACGAGGATCCCTTCAGCACGGGCATCGTTCCAAACTCGGCAATCAGGCTCCTCAACTTCTGGTTGTACGTGGAGTTGAGTTCCCTGATTCGCAAACAGGACTCGTAGAAGTGTTTTACTTGGATATCCTCGGGGGAGTCATGAGTATCATGAGCCGTGTTGAGCATCTTCAGGATCTTCCGGTTGAGTCCATTCGTTAGAGTCTCGAAAACCCCTGTAGTAACCACCTGCATGCTCATCGCCGAGTTAATCCGCTCGTAGTTGCCACAGGAAAAGGTGTAGAAATCACCGCAGGGATCTGCCTTCTGGTCCATGAAGCTCTCAATCTCCGCTGCTTTGGCCTGACGGAGAAGCTCCTTCATGTACGGGGTATCCTGGTTGAGATCATCCTCGTTGGCGGAGGGGGCTGCCCAGGCAAAAGCACTTAGGGTGATGCAAATGTAGAGCAACTGCATCGCGTTGTTTGCCATTGCAATTCCAGTGATCGACTGTCCGGTTCTCAGTTAATCCAATCCGATGAGTTCATCGCCATCCCATTAAACACACAGCCGCTCCTCGGTTCTCGGAAAACAAAAGACGACCCTGGGGTTATCGCGAGCTCTCTGATGAGCTTCAATTCCCTCACTCACTGCCGATTGCATTTTGCTCGCCAATTATTATATTATCATCGTTTCTCCACAGATATCAGTTAATCTCACAAGAGATAGGAGCTACTAATTCCCAGAAACACGATCGAGAGATTTGTTATTTAGATTCTGTCGCCAGAGATTCTATACTCTTTTCACTCACGTGATTGAATGAGATAATTAATGTCAAGGTAGCTGATTACTCTGCCATGACTTTTAGCTGCAAAGTGCCTATTAAAACAGCTCGTACAAAAGCCGAGCTACAATTGTTTAACGGGCAGTCTAAACAACGCTATAAATTATGTCGAATTGTGATGAAAGCCGACGCTTTTATTTGTTTACAAAGTGTAGGAACTGTTAAACATATCATCAAACAGGGGATTCGAGTATAAAGATCTTCTTTTTAGTCGCTTTTTTCTAGATAAAGTAAAGACTGATTAATTATAAGAGGCTTGAGATACTTTAGAATTTAGGTATAAGCAAATTTTATTAAATTCATGTTAATATCAACTTGAGAAAAGTGTTCTTAGACTTCAAACGGTTGACATAAGATTCAGTAGAGTACGCACTTCTCATTGGGATTCATGGGGGATCCAGCGGGACAGTTAAACTCCTTGGAGAACTCATCATAGTTCGATAGAGTTCCAATAAGGCGAAGTTTATCCGGCATGTGCGTATCGATGGATAGCTGCTTGACCTTGAGCTTCGGATCAATGTCGTTACACAAGGTCTGCGCAAAGCTGATGAAGAACAGCTGTTTGCCGGTGTATGGCAGCTTGGGCAGGGTTTCCTTTGTTAGATCCTTGGTCCCTTGGGACTCGTACCACTTCCGGTAAGCAGTGAAGGCCACCCGCATTCCCCCATTATCAGCAATATTCTCGGACTGCGCAGTGGATTCCTTCAGCTGAATCCCATCGTATTTATACCTTCCATACTGCTTCGTGAAACACTCTCGTCCCTTCACGAAATTGCTGTTGGATTCTTCGTCCCACCAATCATTGTAGTTTCCCTGGGCATCGTAGGACTTACCGCCCTCATCGAACCCATGAATTAACTCGTGTCCGATAATCGGTGCTAAAGTACCAAACAAAACGGCAGTGGGGTAGACATCGGACCACATGTAGAAGGGTTGGAGCATCGCCACCGGCATCTTGATGGCGTTTTCAGACTGCAGGTAGGCCGGTGTGAAACTGAGCATTTCGTCAATCTCCAGTGGTTTGGACTGCTTGTGAAGCTTCTCTCGCGTTTGCCTGGTCCTCAGCAACTGAATCTGTAGCATGTTATCCACGAGGTCGGAGCTCTGTAGATTGAGACCCTCGAACTCCTCGGTAAAGTTCTCCCAGACGTAGTTATTAATCTGCAGGGTCATGGTCTCCAGCTTGGCAATGGCCAGTTTCCGAGTGGGTGGCTCAATCCAATCCAGAGTTGAACTTGAGTGCAGGGTCTCATTAAAGGTTTCCTTCAGTTGACGCCACATCTTGTCGATTTCTCTGGAGGAGTTCTCGTTGTTGTAGCGACGATAGAACATGTTGTCCACATTATTGACAAAGAACTTCTTGGTGAGATGCACACAGTCCTGCTTCTGTTTCTTCGGCTTGTCGGAAGGCGACTCTACAAATTCCCAGATGAGGCGGAAGAAGATATAATTAGCAATAATGCGTTTAGGAGTCCGCTTGATGACTTCCACCAAATTTTGCTGATAGCGTTTGTTGTATTCGTAGATCTGTTCGGTAATCGTCTCTCCCATGCTGATAGAAACTAATCGCTCGATATCCAAGATGGGTTCATAACGCTTGTGCACTTCAGCGACTGTCAGAAGCTCCGTCAATTCACCCAGGCTATAGACTTGGGTAGTATCCTCTATTCCTTGGGCCAGGTCCACCTCGAAATCGAGCAGCTCCTTGGCTGTCTGCTTCGCCAGTTCCACTTTCAGGCCCAAGAAATCCTTTAGAACGCCCTCAATCTTAGTACGATACTTCTCACGGTAGTTGAGCGTTGAGTTGTCCATGTACATAGACCGAGACTCCAGGTAGAATTCTTGTTCTCCCAAGTAGATCACGTTTCTCTGGTTGTCGGCCTGGTCCGATGTTACTTCCACACCGAAAATGGGCGTAATTCCATAACGGTGGGATATGCGAGCGGTAGTTCCCAGCCAGTCGAAATCCTCCTCCTTCCAGGACGATCCTTCCAGCACAGGCATCGTTCCGAACTCCGCAATAAGTCGCTTCATCTTTGCGGTGTACGTGGAGTTGAGTTCCTTCAGCCGAAGGCAGGACTTGAAGAAGTGCTTCACCTGAATATCCTCCAAAGTGTCGTGGTTATCATGGGTCGTGTTGAGCATCTTTAGGATCTTGCGATCAAAGCCATTGGTCATAGTCTCGAATAAGCCAACCGCCGATACATCCAATTTTAAAGCTGAGTTAATTTTGGCAAAGTTGCCACAGGAAAAAGAATAGAAATCGCTGCACGGATCGGCCTGTTGGTCCATGAAGCTCTCAATTTCGGCAACCTTGGCCTGTCGCAGGAGTTCCTTCATATAGGGGGTGTCCTGGTTGAGATCATCCTTTCCGATAGGGACTCCCCAAGCAAGGGAACTAAGCACGTTACCTATTAGGCAAATATGAAGTAATCGCATTGCGCTGTGCCTCGCTTTAAGTTCAAAAATCAACTGATTATCTCAAAATAGTTTGCTCATTTGCTGTCGAAAAACCAAAAGTATTTTACAGCGTTATCGCGGATTTTTACTGCTCGCCATTCTGACTGTCTGCCTGTCCGTTTGTATGAACGCTCAGATCTCGGAAACTACAAAAGCTAGAAGGCTGGGATTAATCACATTTATTCTTGGGCTTCCTACGCAGCGCAAGTTTGTTTCATCCGAGCGCGAGAAAATTTTAAAATCGGTCAAACCACTAAAAAGTTATGAGCAAAAAATGAAGTACTCCAATCAAAGACATCCGCAAAAAAATGAAAATTAAATGAAACAATTTTGAGAATTTTTTTTAACTTTTTTTAGGTTTATTTAAAGATGATAATTTTTTATTTTTTTTTACGAATACCGAATGGCGTCCTAGTAGACTATGCACTTCTCTCTAGGATTCATGATCGATCCGGCTGGACAGTTGAACTCATTAGAGAACTCATCAAAGTTCGCTAGAGATCCTATGACTCGGAACTTTCCTGGCATATGTTGGTCGGTTGATACTTGAAGGGCCTTTAGTTTCGGTTGTACATCGTTGCACCAGATCTGAGCAAAACTGATGAAGAAAAGCTGTTTGGCAGTGTATGGAAAGTTGGGAAGGGTCTCCCTTATCAGATCGCTGGGCGGTTGGGAATCGAACCACTTCCGGTAGGCGGTGTAGGCCAATCGCAATCCCCCGTTATCAGCAATATTCTCCGCCTGAGCAGTGGATTCCTTCAGCTGAATCCCGTCGTAAACATACCTGCCATACTGCTTAGTGAAACACTCTCTGCGTTTCAGGAAATTCCCGCTGGACCCCTCGTCCCACCAATCCTTTGAGTTTCCCTTGGCATCGAACTTCCTGCCGCTGTCGTCGAACCCGTGGATCAACTCATGTCCAATAAGATACGCCAAGGAGCCGAACATGACCGCATTTGGATATACTTCGGACCAAAGGTAGAAGGGCTGGAGCAGGGCAACCGGAACCTTGATGGTGTTCTCTATCAGGATGTTCGCAGCGGTGTAACTAAGTTGGAGTCCCAAATCCACTGGCTTTGGCGGCTTGTGAAGATTTTGTCGCATAAGCTTTGCACCCACCATTTTAATCTGTCGCACATTCTCCACATAATCGGAGCTCTGAAGACTGAGATCAACAAACTCCTCGGTTAGGTTTTCCCAGACGTAGTTGTTAATCTGCAGGGTCATGGCTTCTAGCTTGGCAATGGCCAGTTTCCGAGTGGGTGGCTCAATCCAATCTAATGCCGAACTGGAGCGAAGAGTCTCATTAAAGGTGGCCTTCAGTTGAAGCCACATCTTGTCGATTTCACTAGAGGATTTCTCGTTGTTATAACGGCGATAGAACATGTTGTCCAGGTTCTTGGCAAAGAACTTCTTGGTGAGATCCACACAGACCTGTTGTGGTTTTCTCGGCTTGGCGGATGGCAGTTCAACAAATTCATAGATAAGGCGGAAAAATATATAGTTTGCTACAGTGCTTTTGGGCGTTCTCTTGATGACTTCGACCAGATTTTGCTGATAGGGTTTGTTGTACTCGTAGATTTCGTCAGAGACTCTCTCTCCCAAAATTATAAATAACCATTGATCGATGTCCAAAATAGGGGAATACCGTTTCTGCATTTCGGGGACCGTTAGTAGTTCGGACATTTCGCTGATTCCTAAGCCTGCGCTCTCGTCCTGCAATCCGTGGGCAAGGTCCACCTCAAAGTCGAGCAGCTCCTTAGCCGTTTTTGTTGCCAAATCTGTGTCTACGGCCAAAGCTTGCTGTAGATGCCTTTGGATAACACTTAAGTACCCCTCGCGGTAGGTGAGTGTTTTGTTGTCCAGATACATGGATCGTGACTCAAGGGGGAAGTTCTGCTGTCCTATGTAGACTCGGTTCCTTTGGTTGCTAGCGATGTCTTTGAACACTTCTGCACCAATTATGGGCATTATTCCGTATTGGTGGGCGATGCGTGCAGTAGTTTTTAGCCAGTCGAAATCCTCCTCCTTCCAGGAGGATCCCTCGAGCAAAGGCATCGATCCAAACTCCGCAATAAGTTTCTTTAGCTTTTCGGGGTAGTTGAGCTCCTTGATGCGAAAGCAGGATTCGTAGAACTGCTTCACCTGAATATCCTCCGGAGTGTCATGAATATCATGCGCCTTATTGAGCATTTTTAGGATCTTCCGGTTGAGGCCCTTGGTCAGAGTCTCGAATACTCCAGTCGAAAGTACGCCCAAATTAGAAGCTGAGTTAATTTTGGCATAGTTGCCGCAGGAAAATGAATAGAAATCGCTGCACGGATCGACCTTTTGGTCCATGAAGCTCTCAATCTCGGCAACCTTGGCCTCTCGGAGGAGTTCCTTCATGTAGGGGGTGTCCTGGCTGAGATCATCCTCGCTGGTGGGGTTCGCCCAAGCCAGGAAACTAGGCACGTGGCCTATTAGGAAAATAAAAAATAAGCGCATTATGCTGTGCCTCGCTTAAAGTTCAGAAATCTACTGATTATTCCTAAATATTTTTATCTTTTACTGCCGAAAGCCCGAAAAGCATTCCACAGCGTTATCGGGGACTCTTATTCATTCTGCTGGCTCTGCTTTGGTTTTTTTTATACTCTTCACTCAAAAATGTATTTACCCAGAATTTTAAAACTTTGCCTAAACGGCGTTTTTTTACATTTCAGAAAAATGTTTTTTAATTAGTAAATTAAAGGGTGTAAAATCGCCATTAAAACAAAATTGTATAATATAATTATAATAATTTTTTGAGTGTTCCAGGAAGTATTATCGTTTTAGTCAGCCGTTTGTAACGCAGTGAGGAAATAAATATGACTGTGGAGTATTAATAAGTTTTCTAAGATTTCAGAATTACGAATTAGATTTAAGCAAAAGAGATGGCGCCACTACTAACAGTGACGTCACTGTCATAGATTGACCGTGGGCTATTGGGATATCAAACTTGTGCTAGAGTCTTAATAAACCAATAGAACCTTTTCCTTAACATAGGGAAAATACCCGCACACAGTAAAAAATCCTTAAATAAAATATTGCGGTTTATTTTCAGACTGTTGAAGGTTTATTTAAAGAAGTTTTTTTTCTTTTTTTTAAACATTTATTAAATCTACCAAGAAAAGTCTAGTAGAGTAAGCACTTCTCGGAGGGATTCATTGCGGATCCGGCTGGACAGTTGAACTCTTTAGAAAACTCATCAAAGTTCGATAGAGATCCAATAACACGGAGATTTCCGGGAAAGTGCGTATCGGTTGACACTTGAAGGGTTTTCACTCGCGGATGTACATCGTTGCACCAGATTTGAGCAAAGCTGATGAAGAACAGCTGTTTTGCGGAGTAGGGCAGGTTGGGAAGGGTCTCTTTGGCCAGATAATGATTTCCATTAGGTCGTGTCAACTGTTTTTCATACCAATTATGGTAGGCTGTGTATGCCAGCCGCATTCCCCCATTATCGGCAATGTTTTCCGACTGCTCAGTGGACTCCTTAAGCTGAATCCCATCGTAAACATATCTGCCATACTGTTCTATGAAGCATTGTCGTCGTTCTAGAAAGTTCCTGCTGGACCTCTCGTCCCACCAATCATTCGAGTTTCCCTTGGCATCAAACTTTCTTCCGTTGTCGTCGAACCCATGGATTAACTCGTGACCAATTAGCGAGGCCAAGGTGCCGAACATCACCGCATTGGGGTAGACATCGGACCAAATGTAGAAGGGTTGGAGCAAAGCCACTGGCACCTTGATGATGTTCTCCACCAGAATGTTGGCCGGGGTGAAACTTAGCTGGGAGCCCGCCTCCAGTGGCTTTGCCGGCTTGTGGAGCAACTCTCGCATTTGCTTCGCACCCACCAATAGACTTTGTCGCAAGTTTTCTACGTAGTCGGAGCTCTGAAGATTGAGATCAGCAAACTTTTCAGTAAAGTTATAGTTGGCATAATTGTTTATCTCCAGGGTCATGGCTTGTAGCTTGGCAATGGCCAGTTTCCGAGTGGGTGGCTCTATCCAATCCAAAGCTGAACTGGATCGAAGGGTCTCATTGAAGGTGGCCTTTAATTGACGCCACATCTCGTCGATTTCTCTGGAGGATTTCTCGTTGTTATAGCGACGGTAGAACATGTTATCCAGGCTCTCGGCGAAGAGCTTCTTGGTGAGATCCACACAATCCTTCTTTTGCTTCTTCGAGGGGACTGAAGGCGTTTCTACGAACTCATAAATTAGGCGGAAAAATATATAGTTTGCAACAGTGCTCTTGGGCGTTCGTTTAATGACTTCAACAAGGTTTTGCTGATAGCGTTTGTTGAACTCATAGATTTGGTCAGAGACTCTCTCTCCCAAGCTCAAAGATATCAATTGATTGATGTCCAAAATGGGGGAATACCGTTTTTGCATTTCGGGGACAGTAAGTAGTTCGGTTATTTCTTCAATTCCCAGGCCTTCGCTTTCATCCAACAATCCTTGAGCGAGGTCAACCTCAAAGTCGAGCAGCTCCCTAGCCGTTTTTTTTGCTAGCTCCGACTTCACGGCCGGAAATCGTTGTAGAATCCTTTGGATAGTACTAAGGTACTTCTCTCGATAGATAAGGGTTTTGTTGTCCAGATACATGGATCGCGACTCAAGGGGGAACTCCTGCTGACCTATGTAGACTCGATTCCTTTGGTTGCTAGCGAAGTCCTTGGATACATCCACACCTATGATGGGCCTTATTCCGTAACGGTGGGAAATGCGAGCGGTAGTTCCCAGCCAGTCGAAATCCTCCTCCTTCCAGGAGGATCCCTCCAGCAACGGCATCGTTCCAAACTCCGCAATAAGTTTCTTCAGCTTTTCGGGGTAGTTGAGCTCCTTGATCCGTAGACAGGACTCATAGAAGTGCTTCACCTGAATATCCTCCGGAGAGTCATGAATATCATGCGCCGTGTTGAGCATCTTTAGGATCTTCCTGTTGAGGCCATTGGTCAGAGTCTCGAATACTCCTGTTGTGATCTCCTGTAAGCTCGAAGCCGAGTTGATGCGTTTGTAGTTGCCGCAGGAAAAGGTATAGAAATCGCTGCATGGATCGGCCTTTTGGTCCATGAAGCTCTCGATTTCCGCCGCTTTGGCCTGTCTTAGTAGTTCCTTGATGTAGGGCGTATCCTGGTGGAGATCATCTTCCCTTGTGGGGGCCGCTAAGGTCAAGGCCATTAGCACGTGACCAGTAATGAAAATGAAGATTAATCGCATTGCGTTCTGCCTCTTTTAAATTTAAAACTAAACTAAAGCAAGCTAATCCGTGCTTTTGTTGCCCAAAAAACCATTGGCAATAGTATGCTTATCGGGGGTCTCTGTCTAGAGGTGACACAGGATTATTTCTCCATAGGGTTAAATATTATTAGAGTAAAATAAATGATCTAGAAATCATAAAGTATACTTATAGTTAAAACGTAGTAATTAAAACTCATTTATTATTTCACTTAGCTTTTAGATTTAATCTACTATTGAATACATTCGCATTTTCAATACAATATACTTGAGTGAAACTCAAAATAAAGCAATTAAATTGTCAATACTAATTGCTAGCTTTGGTAAATACCTTAAGCATTCCTCCCAGACATCGAACTATAACGTGAGCTGTATTTCAATCACGCACTCGCCTCTAACTTGGGGTAGGATTGTGGAACACACAACCGAGCGGGTGATAAGGAGGAGCTCTGCCTCCGAACCACTCCGCTCTACACTCAAAACAATTTTTAATTGTTGGTTATTCAAGCCTTATAATATTTAGTCTCATATTTAGTTAATTGTGCATCTCTTATTTAACAACATTTAAATAATTATTCACCTACTGAATAAATTAAAAAAAGAACATTTTTAATAAATGAATAATAATATAAGAAGTTATCAAAATTGAAAGTATTAAAGTTGAGCCCAAGGCTTATCATAGGCCAAAATTAAGGCACCTACTACAAAAAAAATAAATTTTTTTTTAATAAATGAATAATAATAAAAGAAGTTAATATAATTAAAGTCTAGTTGAAATTCCAATATAAAATGGTTAATAAATCCTAAAGCATTTTGAAGTGAATAAAGTTGAGTCCAAAGCTTATCAAATAAGCTCTGATTTTCTCTCGGTGTGGCTTAATCGCAATCTCAGTAGCAGAGAGTGGGTGCGGAAGTGCGTCTCGCTGAGCTGCCCGTTCAGTCGCGCTCGTAGTGTTCGCCATGGAGAACTTTGGTATCGCAACGACTCTGCTGTTACTACTTCTGCTGGTGGGGAGTGGTCGAGGTCACCTGCTGCTGCCCGGTCAGCCGGCCATTGACCTGCGCATCCAGGCCCAGGAGCAGCTGATCTCGCAGAACAACGATAGCTCCTATGTCCAGCGATTGATGCGACTGGCCAAATCGGCCGAGATGCGCAGCTATATGCAGCCGAATGCGGAGGCCTGTGACAATTTCTACGACTACAGCTGCGGCAATTGGCCCCAGATCAATCCGGCCAACGAAGCCTATCCGCGGGAGACCAACTTTGAGCAGTTGCTGTTGAAGGCATATCGCCACAAGCAGCAGCGATTGATGGAGCAGCCAGCGGATGAGGAAGTGGATGAAGTGGCTGTACTGCGTCTCAAAGAGCTCTACACCAGTTGCCTTCTGTTCCGACAAACCCCCGAGGATCTTTATAGACGTCAATTGCAGGAGATAGTGGCTGAGTTTGGACACATGCCGGTTTTGAGTCTCCCGGGTCAGGAATGGCCATCGGAAGATTTCAATTGGCAAGACACCGTGGCTCGGATCAAGCGAAAGTACGGCTTTGATATTCTTCTGCTCTTCCAGTTGTCCGGGGATCGCATCTACGTGGGTCAACCCAAGCAAATACTTCCGGAGGCCAATAGACTGGCCGTGGCTGAGGTGACAGCTAATTATCTAGAGCACCACTTGGGTGTGGAAAAGCAGTTAGCCAAAGTAGCAGCTAAGGAGATCACAGATTTGGAGCAAAAGATAGCTAGCATTATGCTGGATCGAAGAGTTGGTGTGATGGCTAAAGTGAGGACTCCAAATGACACGTATTACGGTGACGATGCCAATCTCACCAAATATGTGGAAATGGTACTTGATCGGCAATTGGAAGACAACGAGACTTACTACGAACATGTTGACGGTTATCTGGGTGACTTGGTGGATGATGTGCTGATCGATACACCACCTTACATAGTGGCCAACTACATCTTCAATGAGCTGCTGAAGCACTTTTACTACGATCGAAGTGGTTCCCCCGTGGAGCAGTGCGTCAGCCGGGTGAGAGATCTCTTTCCGGAGCTCCTCGATCACATGGTTTTTAAGCAGTACGGAGATGCTGGAACCCTGAGTGATATAGAAACCCTGTGGCAGCACATTCAACAGAGTTTTCGCGGTGTACTCCAAAACTCTTCAGCCGACTGGTTGGTTTTGGAAACTCGCGAACAACTAATGGAGCAACTAAATGGCACCAGTTTAGAGATCAATGGATATGCCGATGTTAACTTTACAGAACTTTATGAAGAACTCAAGCTGAAGCCAAGGGATTACCTACACAATCTGAGAAGCATATTCAACCAACAGAGATTTAAAATACAAGTGAAGACTCAGACATCTGCTACCTATGATCCTGTGGGTGGAAGAGTCCTGCTGCCGGTGGCCCTGCTCCAACCGAACTTCCTGTGGTCCCGCTATTATCCCCGGGCTATTCGCTATGGAACTCTGGGCACTTTGCTGGCCCAGCAGTTGGCCAGGAGTCTGGAGGATGCGTCCAAGTGGGATGCCAAGTCGTTTGCCGAGTACTCCAAACGGAAGGCCTGCTTCAAGGAGCAGTACGGAAGGCTAAGGTTAAATGGAGAGTATTTACCTGAAAGCGATCTGCAGGCGGAGAACATAGCCGATAATCTGGGCATCCAGGTGGCCTACCATGCCTACAGAAGGTTCCTCGGCGAGCTGTCGCCCTCTTTCCTGGGCTCCGAATCGCTGCCCCACCTGAGTCTCAGCTCCAGGCGACTGTTCTTCCTCAGCTTCAGCCAGCTGTGGTGCAAGGATGGCAGCGAGCGGTTCCGGGAGAAGCAATCCCTGCTCCAGTTGCGAACTCCCAATGCCCTCCGCGTCCTGGGAGCTCTGGGCAACTTCAGAGCATTTGGCCGAGACTTTAACTGCGGCAGTGGAAGCAGGATGACCACTGCACAGAAGTGCCAGCTCTTCGCCGTTAACCTGGATTAAATACCATCTTGACTTAAATGCTAACCTAATAAATAAAACACTGTGTTACGAAATTAATGGTTTTTAAATTTACTTCGAGGGGTGCTATATTTTTAAATTTGTTACGAATTCCCAAGTTAAACTGGGTTTTCCAAAAAGTTTCCCGACGGACCTTGAAGTTCGAAAAATGCTGAAATTGGCCAACTTTCCGGAGGTATCACAGGCAAACGGATAAATGGTTTGTTTTGATGTTAAAATTTTTTAAAAGTGACACTCTTTATCTTTCGAAACCCATACTCAGAATAATTTTAGGATTTTTTTAAGGGAGAAACAAATTCATGAAAACATAGGAAAAAAACTTAAAACATACAGCTGCGGTTTGTTTGTTTGTTGTTCGAACTTTTCCTATCCAATTAGTCTAATGGTTAAGAGTACAGAGAGAATTTCAATTCATTTTAATTCTTACGATTTCATCGTAATCACCACTCATAAAAGAGACGCTATGTTTCTACACGCTCTTACTGATAAAGCTAATTTGTTGACTTTGGTACGACTCACATTTAGAATTTATTTATATATAAAATATATATTTGTGTGTCATAATTAAGTAAGCATATTAACATAATAAGAAATATTTCTTGATCAATTTTCAAAACAAATTAAGTGAATTTTATTTAGCCTGGCAAAATCAAACTATATAGGTGACATAGCTTAACTAACGAAAGGCCCTCCCTCAGTAGATGGCACACTTGTACTCCGGGTCCATGGGCGCCGACTGGGAGCAGTTGAAGACCCAGGAGAACTCCTGGAAATTCGACAGTGGTCCGATCACCCGGTACTTGCTGGGTGCATGATTGTCGGCCTGAGCAAAGGAGGATTTCAGGAAAGACTGGACATCGTCGCACCACAACTGAGCGTATCCGAGGAAGAAGAGCTGTCGGCTGTTGAAGGACAAACCCTCCATGGTCTCCTGTTGACGCACCTCCTCCGTTTGCTGTCCCAGCCAGATCTGATAGGCGGCATAGGCCAACTTGAGGCCTCCATTGTCGGCCAAGTTCTCCGATTGCTCCTTGGACTCAGGCAACTCTTCACCGCCGTACTTGTAGTGGTGATACTGCGCCTGGAAGCACTTGCGCCGCTCCTCGAACTCATAGCGCGACTTGGAGTCCCACCAGGGTGCCAGGTTACCCAGCGCATCGTACTTCATCCCGTCGTCGTCGAAGCCGTGGAGCATCTCGTGGGCGAGGAGGTAGCCCAAGGTGGCGTATTTCAGAGCCTCCGGGTACTGGTCACCCCAGAGGTAACGTGGCTGCAACAGGGCCACCGGAATTGTGATGTTATTCTCCAACACACTGTAGGCGGGTGTAAAGCCAAGCACATCGGTGGCATCAAGGGATCGGGCGGGCTCACTAATCCTGGCCACCAATCTCCTGCCCTTGGCCATGAGCAATTGCTGCAGATTCGAGACGTAGTTAACCCGATCGATGGTCACCTCACCATAGAGATCCTCGAAATTCTCCGAGTCATAGGAGTTGATGTGCAGCTGCATGGCGTCCAACTTCTCCACGGCCAGCTGCCTGGTGGCATTGGATATCCAGTCCAGTTTGTCACCCATCAGCTGCTGTCGGAAGATGCCCTTAATCTGTCCCCAGATCTTGTGGACTTCCGCCTCGGTCTCCAAATTACGATATCTTTCGTATACCGTGTGCTCGGCGAGCTTACCAAAGTATTTTTTGGTCTGTTCGGTGCACCACTTGGTCATCTCGCCGGGTTTGGACTCCTCCAGAAAGTCCTCGACCAGTTTCCACAATATAAAGTTTAGCTGGGTGGCCAGCGGAGTGCTGCGCATTGTGAGCAAGGCATTATCCAGATAATCCTCATTATTAATGTAGAGCGTCGCCGGGATATTCTCCTCGCCGAGAATTATTCCCAGAAATTCGGTAAAGTTAAGATGATCGCTGTACTTCTCTTGCAGCTCGGCTAGGGAATATAGGGAAAGGGAATCCTCGAGGGAATCTCCGCCAGAGCCAACGGAAATTAAGCTCTCCTCCAATTCGAGCAGCTGCTTAGCAGTGTGTTTCGCCACCGAGGGACTCAAACCGAAGTAATGCTGAAGATCCCTAGAAGTGCTGGCTTCCTCCAGCAGACTAAAAACCCTGATTTTTGGCTTCAAGTCCGGAGGACTTAGGTACACCCTGTTTATAGATATATTTCGAATATCCTGGGTAATATCCAGGCCCAGGATGATCTGCTTGCCGTACTTGTGCTGGATCTGGGCCACCGTTCGCCACCAACTGAAGGAGGAGGAGGAGGCGTTCCACTGGGGACCAACCAATGCCGGCAGTTCGCCGAACTCCTTGATGACATTTTCCAGTGCCAACTTGTAGTGGACATCGTCGCGATGGACCAGGTTACAGGACAAATAGAAGCGCTGCATCTTCTTCTCCAGCTCGGATTGGAGGTCATTGGAACGCAGCAATCGCTGAAGGCGTCGGTCGAATCCCTTTGATATTAATTGAAACGTGTCGGTCATCAGGTTGCCCAGCAGCTGGGCAGGATTGTGACGATGCCAGTTGCCGCAGGCATGGGTGTAGAAATCATCACAGGGAGCTATCTCCGGCTTCATCATCGTCTTGATGTCGGCTACCTTCGATTGTACAATAATCTTCTTGGCATACTCCGAGGTCAGGTCGTCGGCAAAGGGGTCGTCCGCATCCGAGGGTTTGGCCAGAATGGGTAGACCACTTGACCACATTAACAGCAGGCCACAAAGCCACAACACTCGTCGACTCGTCATGATCTCGCGCTTAATTCAACTAATTTTCAATTGCCCCGATCGGTGGCGACCACCTTATCAGCGGCATTTGTTTATACAATGTCCAGAGTGCTGGGGTAGGTCAATCTGTTATCTCCCCAGACGCCAACTCTTATACAATCGAGAGACTCTTATACAAGTTGCGTTCCAAACAAATCCGATTAAATCTAGTCGGGAGCATTTTTTATTTTTATCATATATAATTGGAATTATAATTCAAATTATTATTAATATTTTTATGCAATTTTCATTATTATATATTTTACCCTATATTGGCAACTAAGCGTTTTACCAGTGGGCCCACGGGATAGGCAATTTCTCTGCCGCTGCGCTGCTAGCTTTTCGATGCACACGTACGCAGTAAAGCAGAAAAACGTCAAGCGCACCGTCAGATTCGCACTCACACAAACGCAATGCGTTCTTTCATTGTATGTGTGCTGCTTCTGCTGGCCTTTATACATGTTTCAAGTCTAATCTATAGTAGTATGACTGTTTAATTAAAGAATAGGCAAACATATTAGGTTTCTTATAGAATTCAAATCAGAGTTCAGTTGATCTAGACGCTTTTACCTAAATGATAATTATCTTCATTTTTTTCTTAGTTCAAAAGTTGTTCTATTCTCAAAATGAATCCCCACAGATATTCTTAAAGTTCCCCCTCTTTAAATGAACCTCGTTATTCCTCTTCTATTTTAGCCATCCCCATCTTCTACATCCTGGCCATCGTGCCCGGACTGATGCCCTGGGACAGTGGCTACAAGTTCCTGTCCTTCTGCCACGTCTTCGGATCGGTGGCTCCCTGGTGCGGCAGCTTCGTCTACCACCTGTTCATGAACATCGAGAAGGGCGAGAATGTTTACTACACGCTGCTCAAACTGGACATGGTCGGCATCTGGGTGAGCCAGAGCTTCGGTGAGTACGAATGCTAATAAAAACTACTAATAAAAACTACAAATCCCCAAAGAAAAGCAAGTGCTGCTTGGAAGCGGAACTATTTTTATACCATATAATCTACATGTTAGACATGGGGACTTTGCAATCTCTCAATACATTAAGCATTTGTGTGGGTCGTTCATCTTGGTGGTGTTGCTGCACTGGAAGGCCTCGGCGAAGGCTGGGGAATTAGTCATCATGGCGAACACCCGGGACTCATTTGGCGGATGGACACTGCTCCGGACGAAGGCTGGTCGCCTTTCCAACCACATGTCCGAGCACATGGACTGGGCAACGCCGAGGAAGAATAGCTGCTCCGGTGACTGCTTCATATGGGGTAGAGTCTCTCCATCCTGGCTCTTCAATTGCTCCAGCCACTTGCGGTATGCCGATTGGGCAATGCGAACGCCTATATTGTCAGCTATAGTCTCACCCTGGGACTCCAACTTCGGGAGAGGCAAGTTGCCGTAGCTCATCTTTGCAAACTGATCCGCCAGGCAGTTCTTGATCAAATCAAAGCTCATCTTGGTCTCCCGACTCCAGTTGTCGTTAAGGTTTCCCCTGCTGTCGAACAGTCGGCTCACATCGTCGAAGCCATGGGCCATCTCGTGACCCAAGATGAATCCTAGAGTTCCGTATTTGAGGGCCATCGGATAGACGTCGTCCCAGAGATAACGATGCTGCATGTAGCTGGTTGGAAGGACCACCAGATTAGTTTCAGTCACATAGAACGGCGTACCGATGACTCCATCATAGTAGTTTGTGCTCCTCGATTCCCGCATCAGATCCTCGCGGAGATTCGCCGCCTGCACTTCCAGCAGTCTCTGAACATTGCCATAGTAATCGGCAGAGCTGACCACTAGATCACCGTACTGCTCCTCGAAGTTTACCGCCTGACCGCCGGCTATCTCGAAGGACATGCCCTTGAGTTTCTCGAGCAGCTCCTCACGCGTCTGCTCCTCCAGCCACTTGAGATCGGGGGAACTGAGCATCTCCTGGAAGGAGGCCTTCAATTCGACCCACAGCCCCCTCAACTCGTTGGCTATGTGCGGGCTTTGCTGGTCCAACGAATGATACACCATATGGTCCAGCACATCGGGAAAGAGCTCAGTGATTCGCTCGGCACATATCGCCTCCTGCCGCCCCTCGTCCATCTCGATATCAAAGTCGGCCAGCAGACCGGAGAGCATATAGTTGGCCAGCACATGGTTGGGAGTGGTCAGCAGGAGCTTCTTCACCTGGATGAGGTAGCTGGGCACTGATTCGTAGACCGGAAGATTGTACTCGTGACCCAGCCAGATGTTCACAAAGCGAGTGAGGTTGAGCATTGGACCGTAGGCATCGCTCATGTTGGACAGCATGGTCAGGTGATTCTTTAGACGTGGATCCCGATCCCCCGGTTCGAGGACAGCACGCGATAGATCCAGCTCCAGATTGAAGACCTCTAAGGCAGCCTCGTGAGCTCGCTCCTCCGGCAAACCAAGGAGATTCTTCAAGCGCCTCTTGAGCAGCATATGCCTGCCAAACAAGCCGCCGCCGCCGTCCAGCAGATCGTCTCTCTGTCCCAAATGAAGTCGATTGATCTGCGAGTTGACGAAATCCGGAGCCACTTGAACGCCCAGCAGACTCCTCTTTCCGTAGCGTCGCAGCAGTTGGGCCATCATCTCGAGGGGATCGAAATCGACATAGTTCCAATCTTCTCCACTCCAAGCGGGCAGGCCACCAAACTCCCGCAGAACATTCAGTAGATGAGATCGCTGTTTCGTCCTTAGAGCCGCAGTGTCCAGGCAGGATTCATAGAAGTACTTGACCCTGACCTCCATCGGACGATCCGTGCTCAGGCGAGGCTCATTGAGCAACTGCCTCGCACGACGCAGATAGTTGGCAAACATCGGCTGAACCACATTGGTGTCCTTCTCCTCGGTGGCTGCATTTATCACAGCATAATTTCCGCAGGCATAGCCGTAGAAATCCTCGCAGGGATTCACATGGGCGGCCATAAAGGATCGCATCTCTGCGGACTTGGCCAACCGCATGATCTGTTGACCCAGTGGTGTGGTTAGCTCCTTGAAAACACTTCCCGATAAACCTTGGATGGCCAAGGTGATTAGAAAGATTAGCCGGAAGGCGGAAGCTGGCAGCTGGCCCTCCATCGCGTTCGAGCTTTGTTTTCCGACTGAGGAGCTCCTTATCTCTGTGTGTGAGCTAACTATCTCTTCCGCTCTCCGTTTTTTGTCTGCTTTCAGGTGCTCTGCCCCTGGTCACAGCCACCACTCTGTGCTTCCCGCCGGTGCTCAAGTGGCTCATCATTGTCTCCTACTGCGTGCTCTCGCTCTGGGGCCTCTATAAGGTGAGATATCAAATGGGTAACCCACATACAAAAAAACAAAACCATGTAAATTTAACTATTGAATAGTGAAAAAAATAGTAGATGACCTAGAAAATAATATTTCACCAGAAAAAAATTGTTGTTTTAATTCGTTTTTTTTTTAACTACATATTTATATTTATTATTTTTTTTCTTTTTATTTTTTTTTTATTTCAATTTTTTTTTTTTTTTGATGTTATAGACACTTACATTTTACAGATAGTTTAACTTACTATACAGGTTTTAGCCTCCGCTAAGAAAAATCTATAAACTTAAAATCGACAAAAAAAAAACATCATCTGCAAAAGGGGGATTCGAACTCACGACCCAGAGATTATAAGTATACCACAAGTCGAGAAAAATAGATCATCCACAATTTATTTTTAAAACAAAAAAATACATGAAAATTTCGTAAAAAGGTTTTCTACTATTTTAATTGTTAAATACCATTTAATGACCCAAAAAATAAAACAACCAAATACAATAAACATTTTAAAAATAGTAAACTATTATATTTGTATGTTGATTTTACATAGTGTTTTTTTGTGTGTTGGTATCCAATTTAAAAGTAGTCCTTTATAATCTTACCTCCTATCTAGGCCCTAACTGCCAGCTCACCCTGGCAGCGTCGCTTGTGCTTCGCCCTGCCCTTCGCCATGCGCTCCATCCTGACCTTCCTGCGCATCCGTGGAATGGTGGGCGGCAGCCACATGGCCCTTTCCCATGTCTACCTGCAGGTGCGTATGTCCAGGCTTTCCAATTGACTAACTGCTATTTTCTATAACTATAACTAAACGTTTTTGGCTGGCCTCTCTCGGTGCGCATAGGTTGAAGTTGTAAGTCACTTTTTCAAACATATGTACATTCGAGTAAACGGACAGAGCCGCCAAACAATTTTTCCTGGCGGACTTAACACAAGAATCCTAAGTGCCACTATAGATCCCCACTAATCTCGCGACTTGAACCCTCTGTTCTAGGACGGCGTCTCCATACTGGGCGGTGCCATCGGAGCGATGCGAATCCCGGAGAAGTGGTTCCCCGGCGTGGTGGACTTCTATCTCAACTCCCACAACATAATGCACGTGCTGGTCGTGGTGGCGGTCTACTCCATGCACAAGGTGGGTTTAATAGTAATGAATAACAGGAAATTTTAGAAATTATTTTAAGTGGAGAGATAAGTATGAGTAGGTTTCAGTTCTGAAAAATATTTTCTACATATTACTTACTCATTTATGCGATAGTCTTTATGTCTTTTTTTTACTCCTATGCATTATGTATTACCCCCTTAAGTAATCAAAAACAAGAGGGAATGTTATAGTCGGATGCCCCGACTATCAGATACCCGTTACTCAGGTAAAGGGAGTGCGAGGGAGATGGAGATAGAGATAGAAAACGTTGATCACGCATAACTTTTTAACGAATGGTCCGATTTGAAAAATTTCTTCTACATTTCGATAGGTATTGATAAACACAATAAAACTGCATTTTTACTTTTCCAAAATATTAAAATTTTTAAAATCGTATATAAGCGATGGTGGGCGTTAGAGGGGGCGTGGCACCATTTTGAAACAAACTTGCGCTGCGTAGGAATTCCTAAAATCTGCATGCAAAATGCCAATCTTCTAGCTTTAATAGTTTCTGAGATCTCAGCGTTCATACAGACAGACAGACGGACAGACGGACAGACGGACAGACAGACGGACAGACGGACAGACGGACATGGCTAGATCGACTCGGCTAGTGATCCTGATCAAGAATATATATACTTTATGGGGTCGGAAACGCTTCCTTCTCCCTGTTACATACTTTTGCACGAATACAATATACCCTTTTACTCTACGAGTAACGGGTATAAAAAAGGTTCTAAACCAAAATTGACTCTTGAAAATTATGGATTAGAAACGAAATTTAAAAACTTAATTAGACTTAAAAACTTAACTAGTAGAGTATGCACTTCTCTCTGGGATTCATGACAGATTCGGCTGGACAGTTGAACTCTTTAGAGAACTCGTCAAAGTTCGATAGAGATCCAATAACACGGAGATTTCCGGGAAAGTGCGTATCGGTGGATACCTGCTGAACCTTGAGCTTTGGATCCACGTCGTTGCACCAAGATTGGGCAAAGCTGATGAAAAACAGCTGTTTGGCGGAGTAGGGTAGGTTGGGAAGGGTTTCCTTCGCCAGATCCTTGGGATGTTTTGAGTCGTACCATTTCCGGTAAGCGGTGTAAGCCAGCCGCATTCCCCCATTATCCGCAATGTTCTCGGACTGCGAAGTGGATTCCTTCAACTGAATTCCATCGTAATTATACCTGCCATACTGCTTAGTGAAACACTCTCGTCGTTTCAGGAAATTCCCGCTGGACCTTTCGTCCCACCATTTATTAAAGTTTCCCTTGGCATCGAACATCCATCCGCTGTCGTCGAACCCATGGATTAGTTCATGTCCAATCAGATACGCCAGGGAGCCGAACATGACCGCATTTGGATATACTTCGGACCAAAGGTAGAAGGGTTGGAGCAGGGCCACCGGAATCTTGATGGTGTTCTCTATCAGGATGTTGGCCGGACTGAAGCTAAGCTCATCCTCCAATGGCTTCGCCGGCTTGTGGAGCATCTCCCGCATCTGCTTTGCCCTCACCATCTTAACCTGTCGCACATTCTCCAAGTAGTCGGAGCTCTGCAGATTGAGTTCCGCAAACTCTTCAGTGAAGTTATAATCAGCATAGTTGTTGACCTCCAGGATCATGGCCCTGAGCTTGGCTATGGTCAGATTTCTAGTGGATGGCTCAATCCAATAGAGTGCTGGACTGGATTGCAAAATCTCCTCAAATGTGGACTTCAGCTTATGCCACATTATGTTGATATCTCTGGCGTATTTCTCGTTATTGTAGAGGCGATAGAACATGTTGTCCAGGTTCTTGGCAAAGAACTTCTTGGTGAGATTCACACAGGCCTTTTCCAGATTTTCCGACGTGCCGGGAATAGACTTTACAAATTCCCTGATTAAGCGGAAGTAAATATAGTTTGCTACAGTGCGCTTGGGCGTACATTCGATGACTTCCAATAAATTTTTCTGATAGCGATTCTTGAAATCAGGGATTCCATCTGATTCTGAGATTCTCTCTCCCAAGCTAAGAAATATCAATCGCTTGATGTCCAAGGTGGGTGTAAGCAGCTTTTCCCCTTTCAGGGAACTGTCGTCCTTCAGTCCTTTGGCTAATTCCACCTCGAAGTCGATCAGCTCCTTAGACGTTTGCATTACCAGCTCCCTTTTTACGTCCAAAAATTGTTCCAGGGTTCTCTGGATATTGACTCTATATCTTTGACGATAGCTCGCCGTTGCCTTGTCCACGTACATTGACCTCGTCTCAAGCGGAAATTTCTGCTCCTTGATGTAGATGCGGTTCCTTTCGTTGTTGTCCAAGTCCTTGCTCACTTGCACATTAATGAGGGAACCAATTCCATATCGATGGGCTATACTTGCGGTTGTGTTTAACCAATCAAAGTCCGATTCCTGCCAGGAGGATCCATCAAGTACCGGCATCTTTCCAAACTCCTGAATAAGCTGCTTCATTTTTATGGGGAAGTTGAGCCTCTCGATTCGAAGGCAGGACTCGTAGAAGTGCTTCACTTGTTTATCCTCTGGAGTCTCGTGAATATTATTAGCCGCTGTGAGCATTTTTAGGATTTTGCGATCAAGACCCTTGGCGATAGTCTCGAATAATCCCGTCGAGGATACTCCCAAGCTGGGAGCTGGATTAATCCGAGCATAGTTGCCGCAAGAAAAGGAGTAGAAGTCGTTACATGGATCAGCTTCTTGGTTCATAAAGCTCTCAATCTCGGCAGTTTTCGCCTGGCGTAGCAGTTCCTTCATGTAGGCGGTGTCCTGGTAGAGATCATCTTCGCTGGTAGATGCCGCCACCAAATCGAAAGCACTAAAAGCATGTCCTATAAGGAGGATATATAGAATTCCCATCGCAATGTATTTCGTTTAAATTCCAGTAACCGACTGCCTTGCGAAAAATTATTTTATAAACAACTATGTTTTATTGAATGATTAATAAATTATCATTATCATGAGTTATTATTCTTCTAAAAATTACAAAAACACATACGAAGATTGGAAATTAATACAACTCATGAAAAATAAATATTATAAGGATTAGTCACCTAAAGATATTATTTTCTACCATCACTGTTTATTATTATGCTTAATGTAGAACACAGTTAGAACTGAAATGGAAAGTATAGCTAATCTTTAATGTTTTTATCCCCTTTACTCGTACGAGTAGCGTAAAAGGGTGTATTGTATTCGTGCAAAAGTCCGTCTGTCTGTCTGTATGAACACTGAGATCTCAGAAACTACAAATGCTAGAAAGTTGGGAATAGCAACACATATTCTTGAGCTTCCTAAGCAGTGCAAGTTTGTTTCAGCCGATCGCCACGCCCACAATCGCCTTAAAGGATCTTAAAGTGTGCACGGCGCTCACATCTTTAAAGATTAAGGAAAAGTATAAATGCAACTATGATGTGTTTATTTATACCTATCGAAATGTAGAAGACATTTTTCAAATCGGACCATTCATTTAAAAGTTATTTCCAAATAATAAAATTCAAGCAGTGCAAGCAGTCACTTTGCTGCATGCATATCTCCGTCTCCCTCGCATTTTTCATAGCTGAGTAACGGGAATCTGATATTCGGGGCATCCGACTATAGCTTTATTTCTTGTTTTAGTTTCAATGATAGAACTACAAAACTGGTAACATCCTTTAACCTTTTCTTATTTTAGGCCACCATCAAGGACTTCGAGTGGATGTCGACGCAGACCTGTCACACCGATGCCGCCAATGTCACCGAACAGGCTCTGGGGCACGTGGAGCTATGACCCGCTTATTGGCTGCTGCCGCTGGTGCTGCTGCCCTTGCCTTGGATAATCCTGGCCAGGCGGCGCGCCCGGACGCACTTGATCCGCGCCCTGATCGCTCCCATCGCCTGGCGGCGGAGGCGAGACCAAATCCCCGGATGAGAGTAGATTTGAGATGGCTACGAGGAACGCTACTTGAATATACCGTGTATAAGAGAGCGCCGATGCTGTTGCAGTAACAATATACATATGTATATCTAGGTGTAGGTATAGGCCATACATATATGAACTGTATGTGTGTATTTACATATAGTACATACTTCGACTGTGGTATTAAGCATTAAGGTTATATAATTACGGAGACGACGGGATGGCAGGATGGTTCGGAACCAAGTCTTCGGATTTTCACGCTAAAACTCTTGAGTATACAGTTGCGATATGGGCTGGGCAAATGAATATGGATTAACGATTAACGATTTATGAATAATGAGTAATTGTAATGATGATTTGAATGATGTTGATACACATGTACCTCATTGTGCTTACGACAACACATCTTATTTTCAAATACTCGTACGTATAACTTTGTACCTCGTCGGAAAATTCTACAATAAGAACACCTATAAGCTAATCTCTTCCTAGTTGAACTTTTTAGATATGCAAATTGTTAATTTTGGCAAGCTAGTGGTAGTAGTGTAAGCCTAGTTAATCTGCTCCAATCTGTGCATAGTTGTGAACGAAAAACACTTGCTGTTGTGTGACAGTAGTTAGAAAACACGTATTCAAGTATGGACAAGTGTGAAAACCAATACAATCTTCTGGCAAAAGTCGCTACTGCAACGAATCACGTACATACATACGTAGTAGAGTTCGATATGAATTGGGTTTATATCATTTATGTCAATTGAGTGCGCAATGTTAACCTCAGATATTTATTGAGCTCCCCCCAAGTATTGAATATTATTAGAAATCGCAATATTTATTACGAGTTCCCTAGGCGTTAATTATTAGGGCAGGGTATACAAATACAACAACCAACTTAACTATACGATAGCAATCTTTCGAAAGTCGGTCTATTTTAATCCTAGCAATGCGAACTATTATGAGTAATGCGTTTTAGTAGTGTCAATAATTTACACCACCCCCTCCCCTCGAACGATAGAGACAGAGCGAATCTAACAAGTGAAACGTAAGCTAACAAACGAATTCAAACAAACAAACAAAGCAATAATTATAGGCAGACTCAATGCTTTATGTTTAAAGTTGCTGCTAGACATAAGTGACAATTATACGAGTAATGTAAAATGATTTTCTGAGCAGGTTAATAAACATTAAAAGTGTATTTAATGAGCAAATGAAAAGCACCCGTAACGTCTTTTAATTTGAATTTGGAAATCCCCTTAGGAATTTCTGCCGGCATGTGGCGTCGTGTACTGCTTCGCCGCCAGATGGCGTTTGGTGAAGAATTCTCCATCCCTGTGAAAAAACAAGTTGGCAGCTCTGGCTCAAGATAAACCCCCAATTTAAAAAGTTTTTTTTTATTTATACTTTATTAAATTCTTTAGTAAATTCTTATATTCGCGCCATGCATTTATAGACAATATGTTTTATACTTTCCCTTCGTAATATTTCATTTTATTCGAGTTGTTGACTAGTTGTATTTTATGATTAGTTTTTTCTTGTTTTAAATACGAGTTTAACGCTTTTGATTGATGCGCGTTTTAAAGTGTATTCAGATACATACATTTATGAAGACTCTATATATAAATATGTTTATTTTAAAAATTTACAAAAATGGAAAACTTATCTGATTCGTTATGAAGCTAGTAGCACTTTAAAATTCCTAATTGCTTTTCGCATATATATATATATGTATGTAGTAGTCGTGTATATATGGCTATGTTCGTTTTGTTAAAGTAAAAACTGCATTGCACATTTTGTCGGCGTCCTGCTTTGTTTTCAGTGTATATATTTTTGATTAGAGTTCTGTATTTTGGTTTAGTATTTGATATTCACGTTTGTTATAAAAATGTATTCATCTTTATTCTCTTATCTAAATATTCTTCTTAGTAACTTTTAGCGACAATTCCCCGTATAAATATAAATATAAAATAAAATTAGGATTAAAATTAATAAAATTGTATAGCAACCTATTATTACAACATTTGTTTGTATTGCGCTTTGGACTTGCAGCAAAATTTGGCACCAAAAATAATTCGATTAAAAACGTGCGTTCTATGGAGAGCATTTCTAGAAACAAAGGTAAAATAACTAAGCAAAATTCAATCTCACTCTCTGTGGGTCGCACTTGGACTACAGATATATCATTTAGCGCTGCGCGTAGGAGAAATCCGTCTGAGCATGTGCATTCTGACTGCTTTGGGGAAGGTGATACAGGGGACTCAGCGGATGATGATGATGCTGGCAGCCGGACAGCTGCTCCAACCTCCGATCCTGCTGATCCTGCTGATCCTGCACCACCGAGAAGCTCAGCCCACAGGAGCAGTGCTCGATGTGGGGCTGTGGATTGGTCAATCCCGGCATGGCATGCACTTGGGCCTGCTCCGTGATGATGGTGGGCGGTGGCGATGGCGAGGACAGACAATCCTGGCAGAAGTGCTGCTGATGAAACAGCGCCGGTGGCGGCGGAGGAGGCGGTGGTGGCGGCGTCATCGAGTGGGTCGAGCCACTGGACTCCGTGGACTCCGAACCCGTATCCGTGGCCGTGCTGTCCGAGGTCGAGGTGGATGAGGATGGCTTGTGTGGCTGATGGGGCTGATCGGGTGGATGATGGCAGCGACATATTGTAACTCAAAAAGTGCCGCCATCGTGCTGATGACTAGATGAGGATGAGGCAATGGCAGATGGTACCGATGGTACTGATGGTACAGCCTCAACAGCAGCAGCAGGCAGAGCGGAAGGAAGCCCGTTGACCTGGTGCTGCAGCAGGCTATAACCATCGCCATCTCCATTCTGCTGGTGACTGTTTGTGGAATGATTTTGATTCTGATTCTGATTGAGTTGTGTGGTGGTGTCGCCATTGCTCGAAACGGCCAAGGATTTGGGTGGAATGGGCGGCGGTGGCACTGGGAAATCCTCCACATCGAACGAACTGCTGGAACTCTCGCGCTGCGTGATATTCATCGAGGCGCTGGCATTGTAGTCCAAGCTGCCATTGCTGCTGATGCGACAGTGCTCCCGATGCTGCACTGTGATGGCCGAAATCGAGGATGAGTCTTCGCTCAGGTTGTTGAGATTCATGTGGTTCAGTTCCCGGGAGCTCGTGGTCGAGATGCCCGAGTCCCGGAAATCATTCGGCGCAAAGCAGACGCTCAGGTGGCCGCCACTTCCGTCCTGGAAGTTCGGAGGCAGCGAGTGCGGCTGCTGATCCGCCTCCGGATCATCGTAGCTAATGTCCACCACGGAGTACTTCTGGCCATGCTGCTGCTGCTGCTGCTGCTGCGAGTGACGACGACCCACGGCGGCATCGGCTCCGAAATCGTTGAAAATCATGGGATTCGAGGCCCGCTTATCGGGGGTAATTCCCCTAGGAGGCAATGGCGGTGCATTGGGGGAGTTCGCCGTTGGCTGTCGTTTCGGTGGAACTTCCGGACTATCTATGGATCCATTGCCCATAAAGTTCTGCGAGCGTGGACGATTCGGTACCGGTGGAGCTGCAGCATCTTCGAGAGGAATACTCAGGCTCTCCTTGCTCAGCGTTTGATACGAGCTCAGTGGATCCACGGGCCGCAAAGTGTCGCCCGGTCTCGTGTAGATCTCATCCAGATCATAGACATAATTGGCGTGGGAATTGGTGGAAGCCTGGGTAGCCTGAGCAGCCACCCGCTGCTCCGTGGGCAACGGCGGCAGCGGAGTGTTGACAATGCTCTCCGAATGCTGCCGCTTCAGACGGCCCATGCCGCTTAAGCTCTGCTTGAGCTGGGAGAAGCGTTCCAGGAGGCGATTGTGCAGCGGTTGGACACCACTGGGCGCCAACTGGCCGTGCAGCTCGAGGGCCTGCTCCAGGATTTGTATTTGCTCTAGGATCAGGACCTTCAGTCTCTGCACATTCGCCTGTTGGCCAGCTCCCTGAGGCGATTTCAAGAACTGCTCGGAGAAGAAGGCCTCCTGGTACTTGCTTATGCCACCCATCACATTCGCATCGATGGTGCCCTGCAGACGCATTGAAAAGGGATTTATATTCCTCTTAGGATCCCGTTTATACTGAACAATCAGCTCGGCCAGCTCCTTGCCAGCATTGCTGATGATTTCGCAGGCATACTCCACCGGCGTTAGCTCCTGCATGGTCTTCTGTTTCACCTCGTACCAGCGGAGGATTCCCGGGAGAGGGCTGGCAATCTCGAGGATCGTGCGCTCTATCCACAGCGACTTGAACTCGTTGTCCTTATCGACGGTTCCCTTGTACATGGGACGATCGTAGATGAATCGGGTCACATCGTTGACCTCGTAGAAACGGGCTATCTTCTCCGGCACCGGAACCATTGCCGTTTTCAAGGCCTGAGCATCGCCCACGGGCCGCACATTACTGATTTGTATATACTGATCGGGAGCATTTAGGATCGCATTATCCGGCGGACTGTTGTTGCCCAGAATCTGGGCACTGGGAAACTCCGTTTGCAGACGCTGTGTAAAGGCTCCAATGCGCTCGTACTCCAGGCCACGATACACAAATTGCTTGTTCTTGAATTTGAGAAAAAATAATTATTAGTTACAGAGTGAGGGATTTGTAAACCTAATAACCTACCCTCACAAAAAGTGGCAATCCCATGCCGTAGAATCCCACACGGAAGTATTCCGGCTCCGGTCGCAATTGAGTTAGGATATTCTGGAAGAACTTGGCCTCCTGAATGAGTATTTCACTGAGTTTATTGTAGTCAAAGCGACGCGTTTCGTAGAGCTGAGCCAGTTCTTTGCACAAGGGAATGCCTTTCTCCCAGCACTTTCCCTTGTCAAAGTATTTGAGGATCTGTCAGAAATAAATATATTATTATAATATTCCTTATGAAACCCCTGATATTTGCTAACCTCATGATAAAGTCGCTCTTTGCGCTGCCACTCTGGCTGACCACTATTATCAAAAGGGGCAAAGCTCTGGGTCTCCCGATCCCAACTCAGCATAGAAGCATATAGTTTCAGAGTGAAGCCAGCCTCCGTGTAATTCTCCGCCTGCAGATGCAGATTATGCAACTTGTAGATGTATCTAAAAGTTAGGAAATAAAGTTAGGAACCAGAATAAAGGTTTACTTCTTTAGTAAACATACCTCAAGTACATTTCCTTCCTATTAATTTCATTTTTGTAGAAATTCAGGAGATTCACAGTGCAGGTCATGCGCTTATCCCTATTTTCCTCGCCCTGCATGACGCTACGATAGTCCAAGAGTCGCTCCAAAAGCCGAGTGACTGAGGCTATGAAAGCTATGCCAGCCTCCTTCCAGTTGGGATTCTCCACCTGGACTTTCTCCAGCAAACTAAAGGCATACAAAAATTCTATTAACTTCAAGCTTTCGAATATCTCATATAAGGATAGGAAACAAATAAAATACACAACAAAATATCTAATACAGAAAACAGCAAATAATCTACACTTAAGGCAAGGAAGTCAAACTTACACCAAGCTGAGATGTTCCCTTTTTATGGATGGCGATTGCAATGAGTGTGAAGTGAGTCATATATGTATATTTACAGACATTTACAAAGACATTTATGTACAATATTGGTATACAATAAAGCTTGTTTCGCTAACTTACATGGTGCTGAATAGCTCCCTGTACTCGTCGTCGCCCTTGTTCTCGCTGATCAGCAGGTCCAGCTTGTCAATCAGTTCGCTCTCCACCAAACGGAATGAGCCGCGGGCAGCCTGTTGTTGTCAAGAACATGTACATTAATTATCCAAAGTTAAAGTTAAGTTACAACAGTGGTGGCCAGCAGGATAGGCTATTTCTCTGCCGCTGCGCTGCTAGTGTTTCGACGCTCACGTACGCTGTATGTGTGCTGCTTCTGCTGGCCACCACTGGGTTATAAAGACCCAACAACCCACCTGCTCGCACTGCATCATGTCGTAAAAGACAGTGAGAGTAGCCTTACGCAGCGCTGGCTCTGGTACCAAAGTGACCTCCAGGAAGGGTCCCACCATCGAGGGAATAAAGTGCAGCTTTTGCTCGCCCAGCTGCGACCACATGCTGAGTATCTGGAAGCCCATGAGCACCCGCATATCGCCGTTCGAGTGCAGTATCTTCAGTCGCTTGGGCTCCCTGTACTGCTCCAACTGCAGGGAGGGTTGGGTGAGAAATGAAACAGCCAGACTGAAGTAGTTCCACCACAGCTGCGAATCGAAGGCCTG